TTGGACAGGTCGTTGGAATGCCTAATTTAGCCAAATAGGAAAAGGCTTTGAAATTAATAAGAATTGTGACATCAAAACATTACAAAATAAAACAAAATATATTTTTAATTAATATTTATTATTATAAATAATATAACATTAGTAAATAAATTCCTAAAATTAGTTAATAAGACAACAAGGATCACTTGCCAGATGAAACCTACAATAAGAAATTAGATCTGTTTAAAAAATCTCATAAGTTTTATTCGATAAACTAATTACCTTGGAAATCATTGAAATTTAACAAAACTTGTAACGTTAAACTTGTAGAACAACAGCCATTTTTTAATACAATACAATAAACGTTACAATGATTACAGGAGAGATATTACTTGCATCAATGATTTTTGCAGTCTCCCAATATTCATCAATAATTTTTCTTGTATGGTCTACATACCTCTTCCATTTTTCTGGTGTAATCTACAATTACATAACAATTATAAACCATAGCATAAGAAAAACTTTACATTAAACCTGTTGAATAGATTCGTTCCAAACACTAATAATTACAGTATCTGCAGTAATACGTTCTGCGGAAGTTATTTTTGCATCGTAATACCGTTTACACTCAGACCAAACAAGTTCAATTGGATTGAACTGGCAATGATATGGAGGCAGTCTCAACACACGATGGCCATGCAGAAGAGCTAATCTATCTAATCTGTAAAATATGCATTTTTAATATCTTATTAAATTATATCATAACATACCTGTATACTTTATCTGGTATATGTTTCTTGGCAATTTATAACAATTCGAACTTCATACTAGGCATTGGAAACTGTATATTCCTTTCTTTTAACCAATTAATCAGAGAAACTTTGTTCCAACTTGCATTTGGTATTCTTTCGAGCAACGTTGAATGGTACGATGCATTGTCCATTATTATTAATGACGGTTCTTCTAAGCTTGGTAGAAGCTGATATTCAAACCATCTTTCAAACTTATCAGCATTCATTGAATCATGATAATCGCCAGATTTACTACCACTTTTAAATATCAAGCTACAGTCATTAATAAACCCATTTTCAGAACCCGCATGAAGAACAATGTATCGTACACCTTCACCACTCTTCTTTCTGACTGCATTATCGGTACCATCCTGCCAGCTTTTGCGAAATTCTCCTTTGCTGAATATCCAAGTTTCATCAAGATATACAGACTTGAGACGATGAGAATCACTTTCATTTTTTTTTTAAATCTCTTAAGAAACAATCTTTTTCGTGTAACATGTGACTGTTCCATGAGATATTTTCTGTTAGAAATGTTACAGCTTATCCACTTGAATTTTAATTCTTTTAAAGCCCTACTGAGTGAAGAAACTGATGTATTTCTTCCATATGCATCTTCTATTTTTTTCTTCAAGGTATAAAGAGTCACATGCTCACCTACAATAAAAAAAATGTTTCAAAAAAATTATTAAAACTAACCCTTAAAAATAAACTCATAATGAACCAGTAAACAAATTTGTGTGTGAAATGGAAACATAATAACATTGATAAAGATATTTAGAACCTTATACAATCTAACTTGAAAAATATGTATTTATTAAGTACCGACCTTGACTAAACATTCTGTACATACAAGTCCTGATACCATGTTCATATTTCTCCCAAATATTGGGATCACGGCTAATGCTCACAGAATCGGACATTTTAGCTGAGTATTCGCGATCTGCTCGAATATCTTTATTTGCCAATCATCCTACAGTCGATAGCGATATTCCCAAGGCGGCCGAAACACGCTAAAATTAATTGATCATCAATGAATTTTTACTAAACTTTAAGATGTGAAACTTATTTGATGTACAGCATTTACGGGCAATAGAGTTTTTCCGGCTTGTTTTTCTAATTGGAAATAAGCAAGCAGTTTTAATACAAACGCTTGCTTTTTTTCGCTATACCTCGGCATCTTTATAATTATCAAAATAAACAAATAAAAAATAATATTCCAACTTCTAAAAAATGTGATTAACCACAATAATTACAAATGGAACTTATGGAAGTACTGGTCTGATAAAAACTGTCATATGTACACTTTGACGTTTATCAAAAATAGCTAAAGAGCGTGTTCAAGATTTCAATTTGACTATGAGGCCATGACGTATAGTAAACGGCAGCCAATGAAATGCCTGTATTGTGTCAATTGTAGTTATTTAATATCTACGTGTAGATCTCTCATGATTTTGTTGCGTCACGAAAATGTATAGTGGACGTACCGTTTTTTGCATTTCTTTCAACTTAATGCGATAAAGCGAGATAGATGCCGTATGACGTGCAACTGAAAGGCTATGAAATGAACTATACGATTCACGATTATGACTTTTTCATTTACAATTTATCAGTGGCGTAGCTACCGAGGTGGTAGTGCCACTCGCTGCCGAGTCACAATAAGAGTTTTCATTATATGGTATACTGTTAATTCTCATGTGTTTTTTTTTTAATTACATATTTACCTGTGTCCCATTTTCCTAATAATTATTTAGATACCAATACAAAAATAAATGTAAAAATGGGTGGGTTGGCTCAGTGGTTAGAGTCATGACTTTGAGATCGGGAGGTCTCAGGATCGAATCCCACCGGTGGCAAGGATTTTTATTTAATTTAAAAAAATTAAATATTAATTTAAATGCATAGGTAGGATTCCCCACTCGACCTTTCACTGTTGGGTTCTAATTAACAGTGCTGTTCCTAAAGTGGCGATGGGAAACAGTAACAACGCCTACACAGAACACGAGGCTAATGGCCGTAGTAGTCAACGCCGATGTTTTATTTACTGGATCATGAAGAAAGTATTAACATCCGGCTCGAAGGACCAAAATTATGACGGATTTCTAACAATTGAATCCCCCACAAATATTAAGTACGGCCCTAAGGCACGCTTATTAAAATGGACTGTCTTCTGTAAATGCTGGCTGCAACCATCTCCATGTGGACAATGAAAGCTCAACATGTTGTAAAACACTTTATTGTGCACAAACGCAGCACGACAAAACTTTGTACATATTTACATTTGTTTTTACCTAACTATACAACTACTGCTTACATATTTTATTTTAGTACTAGGACTCTACATGTTATCGTTGCTCAGAGAACTTAGTATTCGGTGTATATGTGAGAGACGACCCTTACTTCGAGAAGGCTTGAATCGCTCTGCCGACTTTTAATGTTCTAACGAAAAAGGTGGATATATGATTTACGGCACTGTAAATAGCCGTTGAGAATGAACAACTAGCTTTTTGATCACAGGACGGTCTTTTATATGTTTCAAAATTCTTTATTTTGGAACAACTGTTTTAAATTTGTTTCACATAGTCTAGCCATTTCAGTTGCCGGATATTGTTCATAATATAAAATCAAAAAATATTTTTTGTTTATTCTATTACTTCCACATCACGCAAGGTGAAGGAAAATATTGTATAGTTAAAAAATATTTTTTTGGCATAAGACTATCAAACTAGCTCCTAAAATTACTAAAAATAAGTTTTGACAAAAAAAAGTTTGTCTGTGTGTCCACCATAACTCCAGAACGGTATGACCCATCCTATATAATCCAATGTCTCGCTAACAAGCTCCAGAAGAGTCATTTGTGGGCATTTCATGAAACTGAAATATTTTAATTTAGGCAGGTTGTGTTACAAACAATTTGACGAAATGCTAAAGGCTCTTCATGAAAAGTCTTGGCAAATTGTGTAGGTTTATAATTTTACACAATATGCCGATGATTTGTGATATGACTAAAATCTTCATGAAAAGAATAATTTCACTATGAGCCTACGGCATATGTACGTAGACGTGAATACGAAGGATATTTGAATACGCAGGCGTAGTCAATTTTCACGTATACGTTTACGTTCATAACATCATTTCAACTTTCTATTAAAACTTAATGAAACTGCTATGGGGCATTTTCTAGAATAGAGGAATTGAGGCTGAGAATTCTAGCAAATTTGGAGGTGGGGGTATAACATGAGAAATTAGACCAAAAATTAGTTCTCATTGATGGGGCAATAACTCTTAAGGCGCCAAAGTAAGTAACTCTTGCCAACCAGCGTCAACAAATCTAGCTAAACCACCGCAATTTATATACATGACATGTCATCGATTTCCATTTTACAATTTTATACATTTATAAATACATCTCTAATAATTATTTAACTTGATGGGATCTTAACCATCTCATACCTCATTCCTCATACCATTGTGGGATACTTATTAAATATACCCTTCATCACGTCGGAGTCACCAGTATGGGGTATGTTTACTGGTGTGTCCCATTATAAATATAATTGGAGATGTATTTAAAAAGTATAATTGTAAGATGGAAATCGATGACATGTTATGAATATAAAGACATAATCATGAATCAATACCAGCAACCGAAGTTACTGGGACTGCCACGTATTACAGGGCTGCCCAAAGGGTGACAAGTATGTGACGCATGTGTCGTATTGAGGTAGGAAGGTATGTGGTGAAGCTGAATCACTACATTCCAAATTGCAAATTTAAGTTCGTAATTATCCATTAATTAATTTTGGTGAACAGAGAAATTAGTAGATCAAACATTTTGTATATTGTCTCAAATATTTTATGTACTAATTCTTTTAGGTTATTTTGGATTTATTATGATGTTGTTATTTGTGTGAGTGTAATTAGCATTTTGCATTATTTGCCTATTGGTATTTTCTGTAGCTTGGTTGTAGGATGTATTGGGTTACACAGTTTGGTTATTTTTTGATGTAGTTGCATGGTTTAGATTTGTTTCTCTAATGGGTGGAAATTTCCTGTTTTTATAGTTCTTCTTGTAGACAGAACAACCTCTGTAGTTATCAGGATGATTTTCTTTGCAGTTGGTACTCTTGACATCACTGTCTCGTTATTTTTGAGCACACCGGGCGGTGGCATTATTTCCTGTGCATAATGAAAAACATTTATTACAAATTTAGAAATTATATTTTTTAGGATTTCAGTCACTTTATAGCCAGAGGCATGTACTATAAAAAAAGTGATCCTCTTGGTGTCAGTCTATTTTTAGTTGATGAAACTAAATGGAAGAATGTCAGGACCCACCTGACGCCAACTTTTACAACGGGAAAAATGAAAGGTATGTTTCCACTAATTGTTGAAGCTAGCAATGCTATGATAGAAGCCTTTAATCAAAACGTTGAAAATAAAATGGACATTGATATTAGAGAGGTAAGTAATCTAAATATTTCGTTAAACACTCACTTGTTAAATTACAGTTAATGATTTTGACTCATAGGAAGACTACACAGTCCTTTAATATGTTCACTCTTTATAGATTAAGTATATGAAATCTGAAATCCTATCCAAATGAATTTTTTTAAATAAAATTTCCTATAATTTTTCTCATCTATAATTTCTTTACATTTTCTAATAAATTTTTCTTAAATGTGTTTATAAACCATAGTTTATATATTTTTACTTAATTCCACAACGTGCTTTTCTTGTCTTTTTCTTTGTCAATGTCAAATAACAGGTTAAACTTTTCCACATCCGATTTCTTGTTATGTTCCAACTGTCACTCACCTAAAAATATTATACACTTGTATATCAAACTATCTTCAAATACTTGCCAAGCTTTCAAAAACCAAGAAAAGCTAGTGAATTTCTGACTCTGACCTAGACGTATATTTTTCTTGACTTATCTTCTGTCTTCTTTTGAAAAAGAAAACAAACTTAATTTGCAATATGCTTTGTTTGTAAAATCTCTTGAGTACAAACCATTCCACTTATATTGAAATGAATGTTAATTTGCAATTATATGTTTTGTTTTTCTAAAATGGCTTGAGCACTTATATTTTTCCTCACATTTTGAGTCCAAATTGTACCGAAAACGTTATATTACACAAACTAAACTACAAACTGATACTATAAAGTAAACTAGACTATAAAGTATGATATGTATGAAGTCTAGCCATTTATATTAGAAATTGTTTTGCTGGCTCTGTATTTTCAAGTTTAAACCCAACTGAGTCTGAACAATTATGGATTTCAGCTATCCATAACAATAATAAGTACGCTATTTGCTCAACTTACAGACCTAGTGACTTCTCTTTTGCACAGTTCTCAAACGAACTTGATGAATGTCTTAACTAGGTGGCAACAAGACATAATTATATACCTCTCTTAATCTGTCAGGACCAACAGGGCAGAATCGATTAGGATCTATTACATTATTTAGTACCTATTTTGTACTAATTTATACCACCAATAAAAATTTTGTACCATGTGCCGTTTTCAAAACAAACGTGGCGCTGCTAGGTTAATATTAAGCCTACAGGACCACATTACAAAAATAAAATAAAAAAATACGTGTGGCCTTAGGGAACTGCCGCGGTAAAGCTATTGCATAGCATTTTTTATTAACTTATGCAATTATAATTATTTATTTATTTTATTTATGCAGTATTTTTTTTTCTTTGATATTAATTCAAGTTACTTTTTGAGCGTGGTGACCGATAAGAAAACAATTTTTTTTCTTTTATTGTGGATTCTTGTGGATTATTATTCATTTTCAAATTCAATTTTTCCGAAATTGTGTCTAAAAGAGATATAATCAGTTATGAGCAGTTAGCAGCTAGTCTACACGCATACGTCTAGTCGCACGCACACAAAGACCGTGCCGAAGTCTGCCGAACTGACGTTAGACGATGCACGGCTTTCAACGCCGCACCGCTGTGCCGGTCGGAGTGGGGGGTGTTAGGTTTATTTTCGTCAAGGAATTTCTTTTTCATTTTTCGATTTTTCGATTTTTCGATTTTTCGATTTTTCGATTTTTCGATTTTTCGATTTTTCGATTTTTCGATTTTTCGATTTTTCGATTTTTCGATTTTTCGATTTTTCGATTTTTCGATTTTTCGATTTTTCGATTTTTCGATTTTTCGATTTTTCGATTTTTCGATTTTTCGATTTTTCGATTTTTCGATTTTTCGATTTTTCGATTTTTCGATTTTTCGATTTTTCGATTTTTCGATTTTTCGATTTTTCGATTTTTCGATTTTTCGATTTTTCGATTTTTCGATTTTTCGATTTTTCGATTTTTCGATTTTTCGATTTTTCGATTTTTTGATTTTTCGATTTTTCGATTTTTCGATTTTTCGATTTTTCGATTTTTCGATTTTTCGATTTTTCGATTTTTCGATTTTTCGATTTTTCGATTTTTCTAGGAGTTAGGTTTATTTTCGTTATGGAATTTCTTTATTCGGTCGCCGCGTTCAAAGCCCGCGATAAAATCTGTGCAATAGCTTAATAATGAAATAGTTAACACTGATAAAATAAAAATTAATATTTTTTCTACACCCGTATTATAATAATGCACTTATATGCCCATAATCCGTTTCATAATGATACATTATGATACAGATTTTTCATTACGATACAGATTTTTAATCAATAGAAACCTACAATTTTTCAATCAAGCATGCTGTTTGACGTTTGTCCTAGGTTCCTATGTAATTGTTTTAGTTGTCAAAACGTATTAAATTTTCGTAGATACCTAAACTTCGATAATTATAATATTAAAATGTCTGATATCAGCGATATAGAAGACACATATCGGAGAAAGCAGAAAATACAGTACGAAATATTTTGCCGCAAAAATCTAGGGAAATACCAATTTTGTAGAATTTTTTATAGAAATACGAGTAATTACTGTTATTGTGTTCAATAACAATATAAATATAATATTTATAGGTCTTGATTATTTATCAGGTGTAGAAAAAATAGCATATGCAACTCTCATGTAATGTTTATTAAAACACTTGCATAAGCCATACGAAACTCGCCTTTGGCTCGTTTCGTATCCCGGTTAATGCTCGTGTATTCATAACCATCATTACATGATCGTTGCATAATATACTATTATAAATCTTGCAAAAAAAATTAATATCTAATATTTACGCCAGCCGGGAACATTTGTGATACCAATTTATTAGAAGCCAGAGAAAGCTCTTCTAGTTTTTGTATTGCATAAACGTTCCAGTCCGCAGACGTATATTTAACTCCGCTTCATACTAATACGAATAGGGTCGGATAAAACCTTCCACGGTTTTCAAAACGCCGCACCGCTGTGCCGGTCGGGGGGGGGGGGTGTTAGGTTTATTTTCGTTACGGAATTACGAAATTTCTTGATTTGGTCGCCACGCTCAAAGCCCGCGATAGAAGCTATGCAGGAGTGCCATACCGGGAATTTAAAGTGGGGAATAACGTTGTCTATCAGCCCTCAAAGTCTCGTCGTGGGGCCTATGATACATACAAAAATCCTCTCGGCTCCCGGTCTATTATGAATATGTCTTCCAGTATGGCGACCAAGAGTAGCAGATAAAATGCGCCTAGTTATTCCCTTCATCAGGAGGTTTTACCCTGGTTTATAGTTGCTCTGTAGAAGAAGTAATGACCGTGACATTCCTTTATGATGCTGTATACGTGGTCAATACAAAAATTGGCTATTTCACTGTATGCAATAAGTCGCAAGGTCGATTACTACCGCATTATGGGATTTTTTTTTTTTAATTCTCATTGGTTTAATATTACCTTGGGGTTTGAGGATAAATTCCATAATTAATTCCATAATTTCGTAAAAGAAATTTAAGTATTTTTTTCCGAATTCCCAAAAAAAAAAAATTCAGATAGTGACTTTGTGGATCTGTACAATTTTTTTTTTTTTTCAGTTTTTAGCTAAATTCACAACAGATGTCATAGTATCATGTGCTTTTGGACTCGAAGGAAACTCATTCACGGATGTTAACCATCCATTTCGTAATGCTGGAAAATTAATATTGGACAAGTTGCCATTATCGGAGTCTATTAGATATTCGTTAATGAATTACGCTCCAGATCTTTGTGAGGCGTTAGGTACAGAATATTTCTATTTTGGCTATCATTTAAACGTGCAATTATATAATACAGTTTCGGTCAGTATGAAAATTGTTTAATATCGATTGGGCTATAAAATGTGGTCGAATCAATTATTAGGTATTGCATTATTGTCTGGGGCACAACAATCAGAACTACACTTAACCCATTGCAAATAACCCAAAATGTAATACTAAAAATATTTTTTTTTTAAAATATAGGCTTTATCATACACAAGACATATCAAAAAACGAATCTTTTAAATAAAATATTAAGAGACGTAAACCTAACGTACACTGAAAACTTAACTCACGCAGGTAAAGATATGGATTTAGTATTCATAAATGCATTTCTGATATATACTGCTATTATTTTAAAAATTTTAAATAAGTGAAAATTCTGTCAAACTAATTGTCAGTATATATTTTAGTTATTGAGATTAAACATACATTAAAATAGGTTATTCTTGTGTAGAATCGATAAATAATATAATTTCTGTTTTTATTTCATTTAAAAATATGAATAATTTGTTATTTAAATAAAACTATATGAAGCCAATTTAATTACGAGTATTAAAGCATCAAAAATAAAAGAATATGTGGTCCCTTAGAACATATATAGTCAAGAAGGAGCATGCCATGTCCGCGTTAATCTAATCGACCTGACGAAAGTGGTAGCCATGTTGTACTATGGATGACTCATCATATGATAAATGGTTTCTAAAATTGTTTTATAATTTTAGTGATTAAAATTTGGTAATAATTTGGATGTTTTATGTGTTAATTTAAACTTTTATCAAGCGTATGTTTTGTAGACATTTTTAAAAAGTATTTAGTGTTTTAGTATTTATTTAGTATTACTGTTAATTTTAAATTTTCCGCGTTAAGAGACAAACAAGACAATATGGTCAGTTGTTCGTCTTGTAGATATAGTAGCACAGCTAAAAGTAGAAAGGAATAATCTGCATTTCATAAGCAAGTATTTTGTTCTCTCAATTTTCAACCAGATTGAAGATTTTTAAAATTTTTAATGTTTAAAATTTGTAAACAAACATGGTAAGTGCGTCTGTGATCAACTGTGCCCATAGGCGTAGTCTCATGGTTTATAGGGTATACATACTTTTATTTAAACAATTCTTTTATGCAATTTTAAGATATTCATGTGGTTGTTAAAATGAATAAATTATTGTTCAATTTAGATTTATAAATTGATTGCAAGTAAATAATTTTCAGATTTCTTAAAGATTCTAGCTTTACAAATTGTATAAATTAATCCCAGGTAGACAATTTTCAGATTTCCTAAAGATTCTCAAAAACAAAGTTATGGCTTGATTTCATGCAACAAACAAATAGTGAGCCAAAATATCTTAATTTTTTGTGTTCACGCTATTTTAAAGCAGATTGTTTTGATCAAACCTCAAAACCAAGAATAAGACTTCTACCAACAGCTGTTCCAACAATAAGAGTGGTCCGGTTAAAGTATATAAGTAAATAAATTCTTTACTAACTATATCACTTGTCCTTTTTTTTCGTTTATTGTATGAATGTGATGCACCCTATATAATTTAATACAAAGGTTTTTACAAAAATGAACACAAATAGAATTAATAATATCTCAAGTAAGGAATTAAGTAGCATATCGCATGCCTCAAGATACTGTCTTAGGTCCTATCTTGTTTAATTTTATTTTAAATAATTTGTCGTTTAAATACAGATGGAAATATTGTAAGTTTTTCAGACGACACAGTTATTCTGTAAAATGCAGAGAACTGAAATTGATTAAAATTAGAAACAGATCTTATAAAATTTTTCGAATAGTTTAATTATAAAAACTTACAAACCTTTGATAAAACTTATGTTGTTCCATTATACAGTTACAAAAAAAGGCCTCTTTCTATAGAAACAATAAAAGGTAACGTTCAGTAGTTTCATATAATTATCACAAATGATATCAAATACCTTAGAGTACAAATTGACTCTCATCATAACTGGAATAAGCATACAAATAATGCGTTGAATGTACTTTTAAGAATAATCTATTTTGCACTCTCTAACGATCAGATTTTGCAATTTTTTAATTACGTCACTTTATTAAACAATTTCGTTTATTTTCATTTCTCTTAAATAAATGATATTGATACATTTTCAAAATTTCATCTTACTACTTTTGTTTTCTGAGTGTAGAGTAATTTCTAGATTATTTCAAATATATTCACACCAGCTATTTCTAGAGACTAATAAGGGTGAGATTACAGAACGTATGCAGCTTTGCAGATCTGCAACTTTGCAGATCTGCAAATATGGCGGTTTTACAAATGCAAGTATTCCAAAAAATATCTGCAAATTCGCAATATTTATTGTGGTTTATTACCCCCAACAACACTAAACCCAAATTTGGAATACGAAAACTTGATACTTGCATGTGTAAGTCAGTCATATTTGCAAGATTTTCAAAGTTGCCGCCATATTTGCAGATCTGCAAAGTTTCAGACGTTCTGTAATCTCACCCTATGACTGAAACGATTGATATGTTTTGTTGATGAGTAGTAACTCTGTAATTTATAAATCGATTATGGGGTAGCGTTCGATATTATTGTTATTTTAAGGATGTACATTTTGTATTATAATTAGTAAATGTCTTATAAAAGGTTAATAATTAGTTCATCTATATTAGTTGATCCAGCAGATAACAATATTAATTGTTGTAAATAACTCGTTGTGGTTATTTATCGATGTATCGGAATGTAAATCGATTATCGATTTGTACGTGGTCCGATTCGAAACGATTCGATTTGTAGATATCGAATGTTTGGTTCGAGAAATGAGAAATTACGCATTTTTCTTTCTTTCCAAGTTTAACAGCCAATGTAAAAGGTCACACTGTGTGTGTTTTCGTAGTTATAATTTTATGCATTTGTAGAATTTTTTGGTATTGCATAGTAATTAAAACCGCCCTTAGTGTTGGGATTGCGGGATTTGAACACCATACATATTTTTTAAAGAATACAGTTGAATTCTGGGTTTGGCTAATGACGCAGTTGGAAAGCTGACCGGTATGTTTTTTTTGGTCACTCTTTTTTGTGTATCTTCATAGAACACGTGTTTTTAGGAGCGTTTTGGTATCAAGTTTTATACCAAGTTTTTGTACCAAGATATGTACGATTACGGTTTTGGTAACGATGAATTGTTCTTTGATATTTACCATGTTAATGATAATGGAAAATATATGGACTTTGGATATATATGTGATGTTGTACCATACGTATTTGATGTCCTGTTAATTGGATTTTCTTTGATTTGGATTGGATGTCTTCCATTCTAAGAGTTTAGTTTGTCGAGAGGTGTACAATGAGTCCATGTAGTTTGCGGTTTAAATCTTTAACATAGAGCCACCAACTTCACCATTTTGATGTCCACCTAGTATCAATACTTAATAAAAGTAGAGTCTCGAATCTTCGGATGCTCCGTAGATTGTTTATCTACTGTTTAAAACACATTCGTCTCCGGTATAAGTTTCAAATAATATCTACATGCCAGTACGATTTTTACAAAATATTGTGATATATTTTATTGTTAAATGTTAAACTGTGTCTAGATAAACAGATTATGAATTTTTTTTTTCGTGTAAAATAAAAATAAAAAATGACCGCGCCTGACGCGGCGCTGGCATGTGGTTTGAAATTTTGTTCCATGTGCCGCCACCGCTCTGGGCGCGTTTCGATTTGCCAAACTTAATTATTTTTAAAAAAGAACAAAAACTCGAAATACATAGAACATTAATGAAACAAATGAATGAAATACAAGTAATTAAAACTATATCCAACGGGAACGTAACACTAAACAAATTTTAATTATGCAAATTCTCATGGAATAGTCTAAAACAATTCTCCAAACACAAACCAGGTTCATTGAGACATTGAGGACAGTAAAAAATAGAATCCTTTCGTATTTTGCTGGTGTCTCAACAATATTTACAACGTCTTCTTTTGGTTTTGTTGTTAAGACCTTTTGGACAATACTGAGGTAAATGTCCAACTGATGGTGTTCTCACACGCGGAGATTGTGCGATGGTCCTAAAAGGCATTCAATAACAGACAGTCGAAAATCGTACAATGACATTTTTCTCTCGTTTCCATTATTATAGAGGAAATGTGCATTATTTAACATTATTTGGAAAATATGTATTTCAATTTTTTTATACCGCCGTATACACTTATTTTCACAACTGTAGTAACTCAGCATTTGATCACTTAAGTCAATACCAACTTTATATTTATTGTATTTAACAATTAATTCAGGTTTTTCGGATTCAATTCCTCTTCTAGATCTTGTTGCAGTCATCTGATCACAAAATTCTGAAGATATCATGGAAATTTCTCGTTTATCTTTCCATTTGGTAATACATATTCCTTCAGGACTGTACATACTTGCTACTTGATTTTTCTAATTTTTTTTGTCATGAAATTTTTCGGATTGCCTTTTTTGTCTTGTCGCAATGTGACTGTGACGTTGGTATTAGCTTCGAGTAATCTTTTAGTCAAATGAACACTATTATAAAAGTTATCCATATACAAAGCATGTCCAGTGTTTATATGACTCTCCACTAATTTCAGTAGGACTTTTTGTGTGTGATCTCTTCCTCCAATTGTACGATCTTGTGAACCACCGTAGACGATTAACTTTTGAATAATTCAAGTATATTCTGTTAAAATATATAATTTTATACCAAACTTGTGTCGTTTACCTTTTATATACTGTCTAAATTGAAGTCTTCCTCGCCACAAAACTAAAGATTCGTCAATTGTTATCTCTTTTCGGATAATAAATAGCTGCCATTCTATCGTTGAAAAAAATCAATCAAAGGGGATATTTTATACAGCTTACTCACGGCTTCATCTGTATTCACGCAAAAATGCAAGGCACGTAAAATTAAAATATATCTATTGCGACTCATATAATTCGCAAAAACTGGCAGACTAACGCCCGTATCTGGATTAAACA